CCCCAAAACCCCAAAACCCCAAAACCCCAAAACCCCTGAAAAATCGAATATAATTGAAATAATAATATTAAAGAAAAAAATCAATGGACAAGGGAGACCTAGATGTAGATGCAATTATTGACAAGTTGCTCGAAGTTAGAGGATCCAAACCTGGAAGGCAAGTACAATTAACTGAACAAGAAATTAAATCTCTCTGTATCCAATCAAGAGACATCTTTATTAACCAGCCTATATTACTAGAGCTCGAGGCGCCAATCAAAATCGTAGGAGACGTTCACGGTCAATACTATGACCTACTTAGACTCTTCGAGTATGGAGGATTTCCACCTGAGGCTAACTATCTTTTCCTCGGAGATTATGTTGATAGAGGAAAACAATCTCTTGAAACCATCTGCCTACTCCTAGCATACAAGATTAAGTACCCGGAGAACTTTTTCTTATTAAGAGGAAACCATGAATGTGCCTCAATTAACAGAATATACGGTTTTTACGATGAGTGTAAAAGAAGATACAACATCAAACTCTGGAAGACCTTCACTGACTGCTTCAACTGCCTCCCAGTGGCTTCCATCATTGATGAAAAGATCTTCTGCATGCATGGAGGCCTCTCACCTGAACTCAGTAACATGGAGCAAATCAGAAGAATCATGAGACCAACTGATGTACCGGACACTGGCCTTCTCTGCGATCTCTTGTGGTCCGACCCAGAGAAAGACATGTCTGGCTGGGAGGAAAATGACAGAGGAGTCTCCTTCGTGTTCGGTGGTGATGTAGTCAGCACCTTCTTGAAGAAGCATGACCTCGACCTCATTTGAAGAGCCCACCAAGTCGTCGAAGACGGTTATGAGTTCTTTGCAAAGAGACAAATGGTCACCTTATTCTCAGCTCCGAACTACTGTGGTGAGTTTGATAACAGCGGAGCTATGATGTCTGTAGACGAGACATTGATGTGCAGCTTCCAAATCTTGAAGCCATCAGAGAAAAAGAAGAAGTTCAACTACGGAGGTGCTGACGGAGAGAGACCAGTTACTCCTCCCAAGTCTAAATATTAAGTTCTGACGATTAATTCTCAATCCAACTGAACTCTCCTGGGGTTTTGGGGTTTTGGGGTTTTGGGGTTTTGGGGTTTTGGGGTTTTGGGG